AAAACCCACAAAAAACTATGGATGCCGGCCATGAAAGTCTACGAGTTCACATTGACATTGTTAAGAACTGTTATGCCGGGAATGAAAGATACTCTTAGCATCATTTGCACTGTCAAGTTTGCTCAGTGGCAGTAGCATAAGCAACAGTGAAGAGAGTAAACATACAACCAATAAGCAGTCTTACTCAAGGGAAGAAGACTCCTTAGCTGTCATTGCTCACAGCCAAGCACCACCTTGAACTATTGTTCTTTTGCATGTTTTGCTGTCTAGGATCAGCCCTGATAATCGATTTTTGGCAGTGGGTTCACAGGAACATACTGTTGACTTCTATGACCTAACCCAAGGCACAACTTTGAACCGGATAGGCTACTGTAAAGACATACCAAGCTTTGTCATTCAGATGGATTTTTCAGCAGACAGCAAATACATTCAGGTCAGCTTATGCAGTTGTTGAGTTATCATTAATTTTTCTTCTTTTTCTAAAAGAGAGTCTGGCATCCTGATCTGAAAAGCTGTAGATGGCTGACTGTCCTGGATCGATTAAGTAAAATGGAATCTTAAACCCAAGGTTCATAATTTAAAAGAGACAAGGAGAGAAGATTGTGCAGAAACATAGTTGAATTTGCATTTCATGGGTCTAAATGTTACTGTTACAATATTTGAGATACAGATATTCATAAAGTAATGAGATTCAGTGGGGAAGAAGCTTAATGGGAGGAAGATTAAGGTAGAGCCCAGATGTCAAAGGCTCCAGGGTTCGTGTTTAGGCTGGCTGCTGATTCAATTCATGAAACAAATACAGCAAGGCCAGCTGGCAATCCTTGAAACTAAAATCCCTCAAATGTTTAAACATTTGTAAATTAATAATACTCCCACTACAGTATTATCATAGTTTTATTCTGTATGTACAACGCAGGTTGTTGTTGCTGTGTGCCTTCAAGTCATTTCTGACTTATAGAAACCCCATTTCAGGGTTTTCTTGGCAAGATTTGTTCAGAGGAGGTTTGCCATTGCCTAACCTTGAAGCTGAGAGTATGTGACTTGCCCAAGTTTAGTGCAATCCTAAGGCAAACCTATCATGCGGTCTATGTCAAGATTTGCTCAGAAGGGGTTTGTCTTTGCCTTTTCTCTGAGGCTGAGAGAATGTGACTTGCGTGAGTGGGTTTCCCAGTGGGTTTCCATGGCTGAGCAGGGATTAAAACCCTGGTCTCCAGATTCATAGTCCATCACTCAAACCACTATGCCAGGGGTTCCCAGTCTTTTTGACTCGCTGAGCCCTTATTTCTATGGCGGAGCCCCTAAGAGGCCTACCCTATGTCTTACAAGTTAATGGTGTTTAGGAGTATATGTAAGAATATATTCTTATTCTTTAATTTCAATCAGTTTTTATTTCTTTCATTTTCCTGGAGCAGCCACGGAGCACAGGTTGGGAACCCCTGCACTACACCATCCGGGCTCGCTGTCTGTCTGTGTGTAATCTTCACAATGTATTATTAAAATGATCTGCAAAGCTAGTTAACTGAACAGCATCTGGAATGCTCAGTAGTTATACCCCTGAATAATACACTGTCAATATATATACAGTCAGCTCTCCATATCCATGGATTCAAGCATCCATGGCTTGAAAACATTCCAAAAAGATATAAATTCCAAATAGCAAGCCTTGATTTTGCTATTTTTATAAGGGACACCATTTCACTATGCCATTGTTTTTAATGGGACTTGAGCATCCCTGGATTTTGGTATCCATATAAGGTCCTACAACCAAACCCCAGCATATACCAAGGGGCTACTGTGTGTATGTGTGTGTGTGTAATATCACAATGTATTATTAAGCTTTATAACCATTGTACATTTCAGCTACAGCTCAGTTAAAGATTTGCAGTTCTTTCTATTCTAAGGACTCAGGACAGACAACAGAATACCGTAGATACTGATTTGAAAAGTCTTCTGTGAAGGAGCCGAAAAGTTCCTTGATTGGAATTACAATAAGTCTCCCTTCTTATCCCTCCAGGGCATACCTTTCAGATACCACAGCCCAAACTCCACACCCATTAAGTGGCAAGTAGAAATTAGGGGGAATCTGAGAATCATCTGGCTATTTATAGCTTGTCAAAGAATGCTGGCATCAAGGTGTCTAGGAGATCCCAGAGATCTCGGCAAATGATGACATTGTTGCCACCTTCACAATGAATAGAAAAACCAGTGGCTAAGTCACTGAAAGGATGCCAGCCTATGTGTGTACAGTAGTCACAATAATGCACCTAGTAATGTGCATTATCCCTTATGCACTGCCTGTGTGCATTGCACATTTGGCAGTGAGGTAACAACTATGCACATTTACTATTTCTCATACATTGTGCTTTGGTGGTGTTCAGTACAGTCTGCCCTCCATATTGACAGTCTTGCCATCCACGGATTTAACCATTTGTGGATGGCAAGCCCCTGTTTTTCTTAGCGGCGACGTGTGCTCACAGTCACGCTAGCAGGTGTGTCATGCTGCACCACCATTAAGAAAAATGGTGCATATGTGGATTTTGGTATCCATGGGGGAGTCCAAAATGGATTCCTCATGGATATGGAGGTCCGACTGTACAGGGTTTGTGTAGTGCTAGCGTAACATATCTGTAAATATTTATGTCATGCTGAGATTATATAGGATCTCAGCCATATGCTCACACTCTTTAGAGGTGATCTGTTATTTCAATGCTTGTAAATTGGGATAGATCAACCCCCCTATATCCGAGAACAGTCCTTTTAGGTGGGTCCTGGGCCTCTTCTCCAAGATTCTTCCCTGGTAACACCAGGGAATCACACATCTCAGTGAAGAGTAACTTTGGTTAGATATAGTACTTGAAGCCAGACAGGAACTGAACTTATATTGTCCTGGGTATATCTCAGATAAGACAAAGTAGATACTGAGTCTCAATCTATGAATGGGAAATCCTGAATTTGTAACATGGTAATACCACTCAGTATTGCATGCAAATATGTTTGCAAATTCCTTGAAATTATATGTGCAAAAAGAATCACAAACTGGACACCACTGACTACATTGATAGCTGAAGGGAAGTACTAGAAATGGGATACAAATATTTCAACACCATTCACATGATGATTGTGATGTTTTTCCTTCCTCAGGTATCAACCGGTGCCTACAAACGCCAAGTCCATGAGGTGCCATTAGGCAAGCAAGTGACAGACACAGCACTGATTGGGAAGATCACTTGGGCCACCTGGACAAGGTGACACAACACAAATGGCAAAGCATAAAGAACTCTAAACTGCCCTATGATGTAGATACAAAAGAGATAGATTTGTGGGTGGTAGGGCTTCATCCATTCAGGATGGTGGCGTTTCAGTCACAAAATACACCTCTCCTCCCTCCCTAGTTCAGTTTGTTGGAGAGTCTTTTAGATTTCCTCCTCAGTGATACACAAATTATCCTGTTTGGTCTAAATCATCTTGACTATCATCTCCCTTATTAGCTTTTTCCTTTCGTTTTCTCACTATGGAACAGCATTCTTGGGGACGAAGTCATTGGCATTTGGCCCCGAAATGCTGATAAAGCAGATGTCAACTGTGCCTGTGTGAGCCATGCTGGCTTAAACATCATCTCTGGAGATGACTTTGGACTAGTCAAACTCTTTGACTTCCCATGCACTGAAAAATTTGTAAGTAAGATTTTGCATGTTATGTATATTTGTGGGTCCGCCAAACAATTTTTCAGGTTAAGAAAAGAACATGGGAAAGATACACACTGACTAGAGTATTCTTGGAGTAGAGGATTTTTGGAGTTAAAAAAACATTTGCACACTCTGATTCTGCAAAGTACCCAGATGCCCTTGATCATTGGCATTTGTGTCCTAAAAGGAAGAATACATCTATGTGTAAATCAAGTTGTCTGTTGATTTATGAAGACCCTATCAATTTCTTAGGGTTTTCTTAGGCAAGGAATACTCAGAGGTGGTTTTGCCAGTTCCTTCCTTTGAAATATAGCCTACAGCACCTGGTACTCATTGGTGGTCTCCCATCTGAGTACAAACCAGGGCTGAGTCTGTTTAGTTTCCAAAAACAGACAGGATCTAGTGCTTTTAGGGTATTTAGACTCTAAAAATACATGTTTTGAGTGCTTATTGTTAGAAATCCCTTTTGTCTGTTCCCAACAGGCCAAACATAAGCGTTACTTTGGCCATTCTGCACATGTAACCAACATTCGATTTTCTCATGATGACAAGTATGTTATCAGCACAGGAGGGGATGACTGCAGGTAACTCTTTCATTGTATAAACATGGAATGCATTGAGTGTTATGTCTAGAAGGTGGGAAAGCCATGTTTAGATTCCCATGCAGCTTTATTTATTTATTTATTTATTTACTATTTCATTTATATCCCACCTTTCTCCCTGGAGAGATCCACTTACTGAGTATCCCTCACAAAACCTCTATTAGGCTAGCCTACCTAACAAGAGTATTGTGAGGCAAAAATGTTTCTTTGATTTCCAGAGGGAAGGGAGGAAAATAATGAGGTAACAAATGCATAAGTCAGACACTAATTGGATAATTACTCAAGTTGTCATATGTAATAGTTGGTGTTATCCCAAAAGGTGGAGGGCTGGTGGTCCCCACCAACTGTGTCAATTGGGAATTGCTTAGCTCAGGGAGGCTTGTTGAGAAACTAGGTAATTTGAACATCATTTTCACCTCTGTATGTCAGTAGTAACTGTGAGAGGACTCCAAGTTTGGCAAATAAGAAGATTTTTATTTTGAAATATGCAAGAATGCAATCAAACACACAATAGTAAGTCAAACAGACACACCAGGCAGAGCTAACCGAAATGGAGGTATGGAAATTGGATAGCAGAGACCTAGGGTTGTAGAGTGTCAGGATTAGCAGATCAAAACTTAAAGAACCAAAACATCATAACAGTGAGATTAATCAACTATTTATTTTGGATTCCAAGACAGAGATCAGCCACAGACGTGATAGTGTCAAATCAAAATGTCCCCCAAACCATCTAACCTTTAAGGATTTCCTTTCTAACCCCCCACCTTTGTGCCCATGTTCTGCACTCTTTCAACCATACCAAAGGATTCTTTAAACTTTCTGCTCTTCTTCCAATTCCCCATTTCTCATTTCAATCCATCTCTCCCAGGAAAGGAGGTGTCATCTTGTTTACCATCAAAGTCTTCTCAGGAAACCAACAGGGCCATAAACTACACTCTCCCCTGCTATTGCTCATCTGTCCCCATTTTGTTTTTCATTCGGATTACAGCCCCCTTTTCTGATTTGTCCCAAGCATATTCCCCCTCCATTGCTTGCCTCCCTCCCTCCCTTCGCACTTCTCTCTAGTTAACTATAGCACAGTTTTACCATATCCAGTTACTTCTATTTCACCATATCAAAATGTTACTACATCACTATATCAACATATTATTATATCCCCTCATATTTCTTATCATGACAGATCAATAACGTCTGGATTCTGACATAGAGAGGGTTATATATCTGTCCTGAAGCGGAGAGCTTGAAAAGCGGGGTGTGACTCAGATAGAATCTGAGGACAATTCAGGAAGAGGAAGCTCTGGACAGTTGGACAGAGTTCTGGTAGTTAGCAGCTGTATGCGCTGCAATCACAAAGTGATCATGTGTGGATCAGATATATCCTATTTGGTGCCGCCAGTTGGACAGAGTTCTGGTAGTTAGCAGCTGTATGCGCTGCAATCACAAAGTGATCATGTGTGGATCAGATATATCCTATTTGTTGATATCTTGCCATGTAACAACAACCTGATGAGAACACAGATGGGATTCCAGAACAACTGGCGTTTTAAACTTTGGATTTGACTGAAAAAGTGATTGGATTTAGGACAACCCCAAGGTAAATGGATAGGGAAGTTGACTGGGAAAACAGCAGGGGATAGGCAGGAGATACTGGCTTGCTAGCCTTGGTGCAATGAGACCTCCTTTGCCTCTTGATACAAGAGAATATGCAGAGCATTTAGGGGAGGAAGGAATGATTAGCACACCCATTTAATCTTTATTTAGATACTATTTAGGTCTTTCACATGTCTTTGGGTCCGTGTTCTTTCCCATGGGAAATTTCCCTGTGTTTCAAAGGTCATTGTGACCTCTTAAAACAGGGGTAGGCAACCTTTTTGAGCCGGGGGCCAGGTTGCTATCCCTCAGACAATTGGGGGGCCGAAGCACCATAAATAAATAAATAAATAAATAAATATTTTTTAAAAATATTAAAAA